CATCCAAGACGGGGCGTAAATCCACCGAGATATCAGGACATACACCCTCACTATGTCGCGCCGTTGAAGACCTTCAGGGGCGTCTCGATGCCGTTGTAGCCTCAAACGAGGGGCTCAGGCGTTTTCTCGTGCAATGTGCGTCGTCCACGACTTAATCTCATAACACTTGGCAACTCATTTTCGACCTTACAGACGACCAGCATGCACACTTCTTTAGTCCAGCATTCGCGCTGTCCGACTCTACCTCCGAGGAGAACACAATGTCCGTTGCGCAGCTCGAGGCGCTCCTCACCGAAATGGAGCCTGACATTCGTGCTGCAGAACGCGACATATGCGAGATAGAGATGTTAGAGAGTAAGGGCGTAACGGGGGCAGGCAAGCTTGGGTGTGCGTTGTGTTCCATTTATCCTTTGTCAAATTTCACCATTTCTCCTCAGCGTACGAAGAACTTCAACCGCGCATTGATAAACTATTGACACAACACCGGGCAGATGCAGAACTGGCAGCATTGTTAGAGAAAAGGATAGCTAGCCTGGTGGAGAGGCATGCGACTCAGGTATGTACATTGATGATGTGCTGTAGATGGACGATTTACATTTGAGTAACAGGTCGATACGCTATCCGAATTGTTCGTCGCATGGGACGACACCATTACCGACGTCGAAGACAAGGTCACTCGGCTTGAAAAAGAAAGAAGTGAACGACGGCGGTTGGGCCTTGAGTAATGACTACCAAAAGCTTGCGGATACCCCCAGCTTGTCTCGATACCATAGTAAAAATGCTTCAATACTTAGATGGATGCGGACTTCGCCTACCTTGCTTTCAAGTTCTTTAAGTTCTCGTTTCACAAATGATATTTTGGACACTCCGTCGAACGGCCATTGAAGTCATCCACCAACCTTCGTATCGTAGGTAGGTAGGAAAGTCAACCAACCTTCGTATCAGTTTACTCGGAAATAAGCTGACCGTAAATGGATTCGCATATTTCAAATTCTCCTTCTGAATTTGGTTCAGATAGACGCCGAGGAATACCGTCCGTCAAAATACTTCTGGTCTGTATTGGCGACATTCTTTACTTCAAGTGCCGAGTTCTCTATAAACTCAGTTATGGGACCACTGCTACTATTTAGTTATGTCGCGATTTCCAGTCACTGAGTGCAGGGAAGGATGGTTTTGGCAAAAGTGTAGAAAGAATAATTAAATTAATTCCAAAATCCTATTTGAATATCTCTGGCCAAACCCTCGTCTCTTGTCAAATTTGCTACTGACAACGATAAATGGCTTCGCGTAAGATTTTGACTGTCGGTATAGATACACTCAATTCATCGATGGAAAGTTGATATTCGACAGGATTTAACTTCCATAATGCGAAAGTTCACCCTGGACTCGGCCAGCGCCTGGACAGAGTGAGCAATGAAATATTTCAAGATTAATGTTCGAAGCATACTAGCATTGTTATTGAAGTTCCGAGCCTTACAAGATAGGCAAACGCCTTCTTATGACTCTTCTCAATCGTAAAGAAACCATCGAGGTCGAAGTTGTTGAAATGTTCCCGCCGACCAACTCTGTTGCTCTCCTTGTCGACATTTTGAGCAAACACCATGATATCTCTTCTCGAGCTATTCTCAAACTAGCTGATCGTCATTTTGGAGACGCGCGAAAGGCAATTGTAGACAATCCAGCATGGCCATGGACCATTGACTCCGAAGGCGACTTTCAAGAAAGTCTTCGGGGGTACATCCAGACGCACCGGCGATACCCAAAGTTGAATGCTGACAGGATTGAGGATGAACCCATGTGGATGCGCGAGCTGCGCCATTGGAATGTCTTCCATGGTCTTCTCCGCAACGAGAGAAAAGCATACTCACGTCTGGAGGACGCTCAATCTCGTGGTTACATTCCGCATTTTTTTGATGCGGCTCGCATTCGTATGTCTTCGGAGTAAAAAATTCATCCCGCTCTTGATCAAAATTGATGGTCTTCTGTTGGAATATATTCCTGGTCGAACGATGGGGGACCTCGAACCTGGCATCGATCTGTCATTCGAAGATGCAGAGAAAATTTCTCAGAAAGTCATAACTCTCGGCCAGCGTTTACGGCACTACGGTATCTGTCATAACGATATCCATCTCAACAACATCATCCTCCGTCAACCTCTGGATGAGCCAGTTCTCATTGACTGGGGTCAGGCAGATCTCGGTTTTGCTCATGTCTCTTGCAGGAAAAATTGGAGGAACTGGTGCCTCATCAATGATTTCGAGACTGATATACGACATATTCTTCAGAGGGCTAGTCTTTGGCATCGATTCACTACTCCACTGTCGGACGAAGACACACGACGATACGCCAAAAGGTTAGGCTGGCTCCTGACGAATCGTCCTGTGGCTTCGAACCCTCCCGATGTGCTAGAGAAATTCTATTATCGATACCACAGCGTCACTGACGAAAACGCTGGGTTGCAATGGAGAGTGAAACCACATGTTAAGACTCGATCCCTTTTGGATGTATATGAACCTCTTCCAGAGAAAAACTACTAGGTGGTTGATAATCGTACGCACTAAGCTCGACGCAGTTACTTGTGTTTGTCACTTCATCAGATTTGAATAAATTTTCGCTCCTTGCCCTCAACTCTGAAGCTTCTTCAGTGGCCGATTCGCGCTTCGAGTAGTAAGAGGCCGTACATTGAAGCGGTTCATATTGATTGACTGTCATCATGCAATGGAAACAAACTTTCATACAGTGCCGGAGCGAGAGAAGAGGACTTTTACGATGGCGAAAGCGGAGAACTTGCAGAAGGTCCTCAACGACCTGCCAGTGCGCTCTAACGTTTTCTTGATCCTCCCCATCGTTCTCCGCTTTATTTCTACACGCATTTATGACTTCAAGATTTTGCGTGTCCGTAGAGCCCCGAACTTGAGAGAGCCCCAGGAACTTGAAGCTTGATCGATGTTGTCTTCAAGCGTGAGTTACAGCAGTGGGGGCGAGAAAAAGCAAGAAGAATAAAAAGAACTACAGCTTAGATATGGGAGTCTATCGAAGTTGATGTTGGATGGAGCAGGACTTCGTCGTTGCCTCTCCTGCCTTACTTTTGGAACTGGCATCCTGGCCTGTTTTCCGAGGTGGAGTAGGGAGAGCGTACCTTTGATCCTGTTATCGCAGTTGGATAGCTTGGTAGTTGGCGTACCCAAGGCGGCGGTGCCAGGTCTCGAGATCGACAACCTGGTATATGGCATATGCGTGTTCAAGGTTCAACGCTGGTAAGTGATAGATCAATCGTATACAGCCCCTTTTCATGGAGCACTGAAACTCGCTCACACCCCAGAATGCACTTTATGTTCCGAACTCCATTTGCCTCATCTCTGTCAGCTGCATGTACTCGCGATTTGATGACAAGCAGTCCAAATCACTGAACACACCACAAACAGCGTAATTGCGAAAGGACCACTATTCTGCGGTGCGCAGTTTCATTGTCCCGATTCCGTAGGCAGTAATTGCGGATCCTCTGACTTCTTATGGGCTTGGGGTTGATAGGCTAAAGGGTGAGGAAGTCAGATTTAATATATGGTTCTGGTTATTTTGCAGATAGATGCTCGTACACATTCTACAGTGAAAACATCTCGAAAGATGGATGCAGAAATTGTAAGCACATGCTCCACCAACACAAGAGAATCACTCAATACTGCAGGTCGGCAAGGTGATTCAGTCAAACACTCATTAAGATATTGGATTAGTATTGGCATTAGTAGACCATATAATACCGTTAATCAGTATACCCCGCACTGCTCTTGCCCGATCTTCCATACTCAACCTCCGCCATACCCAGATCCGCCGGTGTATGTAGTTGCTCGCCCTCCACATCAAACACACTACCAAGGCCCGCAGGGAAGGTTGACGTCGGGAGGTTCATCAAATGGTTCGGCACACGCGTCAGGTATACACGGTGTAGCGCGTCCTCTGCAGCGCGGTATTCGGCCATCCTGAGAGACGATCCAAAGCCCTCACCGAGCTGGTCAGCGCCAGAGTAGATGCCAACAACAAAGACGGGAGAATTGGAAAATCGACCCGTCTCTTTTAGTAGTCTGTTGTAGTAACCGTGTGACATATGAGCGGAGAAAATTACACAAGGAAAGAAGGAAATTTCATACCGAGATTTTGGATATTCGCGGTCAAGCTTCTTGACCATTTCTACCAGGGCTTTTTTAGGTTGGCGGAACTTTATCATGCCACGGAGGTCGATTTCGCGCGATAGGAAGTATGAGTGTACGAATTGGCGCGCGGAGAGGAGAGATCGTTTCTCGTATACAAGGGCTGTTAGTGCGCGCGGGACCGATGCGAGGGCGTCTGAGTGGTTCACACGTTCCTACGGAGGTTTAAGCAAGATTTTGAACAGGGCAGAGAACGACACTCACTGAGCGGTGCCAGCGTAGAAGAGGTGCTGCACCCATTTCCTGTGCGACAGCAGCACAAGTTTGTGTCCCGACGTGTGCACTGACAGCGGCTTTGAGGACACGTGTGGGGAGATGAGGGTATGCGGCTTGGACAAATTCTGAGGCAAAAAGGCCTAGAAGAGCGTTGCCTAGGGGTGCGAGGTGGGCATTTGTTGGTGCTATATGCTCGTGGGGCGCGAATTGCTTCTGGAGGATGGGAAAGGATGAGTGCGTGCAGACGCGCAGGACGATTTCGGGAGTAGATAGGACGGAGGCGAGACCTATTCTATGTGCAAAGGCGGAGAGTGCGGACGGAGGCGGGGGTCGGGTGGATGCCCAGGTTTCTGGTGCAAAGGAAGGTTTTGGAATTTCGGAGTGCTTGAAGATGGCCTCTCGTGGGGGAAAACGAGGAAGATGCGTTGTCGACACCGACGCAATCTTGGCTGCCGTCGACACCAGCCGTTTCTGCGCCGCCATGGTCGATCTTCGCCAACCAGTCCAGCCCTTCCCAATATTTTTTGATCTCGGCTTTCCCCGGTCAGCTAGCAAAAACTGGAATACATCTTAAAAATATTCCCTCTAGCCGACTTGAACGACTGACCTCGTCATCTACCAGTACTAGTGACGCGCTCTACCAACTGAGCTAAGAGGGACTTGCATCTTTGTTCTAGTGCTCCATCACATCGCAGCAAATGCTTTGACCTCATCCTTATTTTTCATTGTCGTAAACTACCAAATGACATCGAGCCAGCTAGAAAAAGACAGATAGAGAAAGAGCATAAGCAACGGGTCAATAGATCATGCACTACATATATCCAATGTTCAAGCAAGAAATTCCATAGATCATAAGTAACCCCATTCCATCCTTATTTCTTTTCCGTAACATCATCTTCCGCGTCACTTGCCATCGTCCTTCTCGAGAACGATGCAGAAGACGCCGCACTGCTCCTCAACACGCTGGATGACTTCCTACTTGGACTCCCACTCATCCGGTTCACCGCCCGGTTCGGCGATGAGGGTGGTGGTGGGCTGGATCCCGACACACTATTCCTGTTGCTGAAGCTTGACGCCAAATTAGCTACATTCCCTGTCCTCGGTCCTCGAATGACTCTTGGCCCACGGGTTGCGCTACTCTGCGTTGTTCCGCTCTGCGCTGAGCCTGCACGAGTCAGCGTCGTTCGACCCGAGCCGAGAATGAGATCATCGGGGGGTGACGAGCTCCTCGAGGCCAACTTGGTCGGAGAAGGACTCTTAGAAGGACTCGCGGCACCCGACCCTCCTCTAGTTGTACGTCCCTGTGGTGTAGGTGGGATCACGGCGGTGGGAGGTGCAGCGGTGGGTGCGGCAACTGGGGGAGGCGATGAAGGCGGATCAACAAAGGTCGGACGAGTCGAAGGTGGAGCATCGAAGTCGACGTCAACTTCGGGCGGGGGCTCCTTGAAAGCAGGACGTGGAGGCTGGTCGTCGAACTCAGGCGGAGGTTCTTTGAACACAGGTCTGTCAGTTGGAGGCGGGACAGCGGGCGGAGGTGGTGGGGGCGCGGGGGGCGCGGAGGCCTGGATCGGTGGGGGTGGGGGTGGAGGAACAAGGAGAGGTGCAGAAGGCTCAGGTACAATTGCTGGAGGTGGAAGTACAACGGAAGGCGCAGAAGACTCAGGTACGGGTGCTAGAGGTGGAGGCGGTACAACTGGTGGTGGCGCAGGGGGCGAAACAATTGCTGCAGCGATTGGTGCAGATACGATAGGTGGTGGCGGAGGTGGTGACACCACACCGATTGGCGGGGATGGTGTCTTTTCTGGTGACTTGGGCGACTTCATAAGTGACGGATTTTGTGCAATTTGCTGGGCAGCCAAGAGCTGTTGTGCGTCAGCACCGGCGGAGATACGACTTCGACTGAGGCGCATGTCAACAGGCGCCGTCCGCTTTCGTATGAGCGGTTTGCGTTCTGACTCTCGTTTCTTGCGGTTGATTGTGGGCGGAAGAATGGCATCGTAGTACTTAATGAGGTCGATGAACAAGACTGATTCCAGAATGAGTACAAATATCCAGAATTGGCGAAAGGAACTCACGAGTCGGATGGCGGTCTTGGATAGAGATTTCCGTCTCAACCTTGGGTCGGACAACGGCTATGGATAATCAGCCAAAAGTCGAGGTTCTGATTGGCCAACGACTTACCCCGGCCTACGGAGAGTGCTAACTTTGTGATGTAAATCTCGTCAGCCTCCTCAACAGTCGTGCTCTCAATCAATCTGCAAATGTCAACTCAGCAACCTATTCCAATCCATCGAGCAAAAAACACTGACGTCTTCAAATGCTTCACCATAAGATCCAAGACATACAGATGGACTCTCGGCAGCCTCTGCAATGCAACATTCAAGTTCTGGATATGCTCCTCGTGAGACTTCTCCGCTTCCTTCGCTGCTGACGACCCAACAGTGGGGTATAATTTACGCAGCTCATCCCAGCCCTCATAAAGTGCCAAAGGAGGATCCAGCTCCAGGACCCACAGCTTGATGGTACTGGCGATGACAGGTGCATCATACTTGGCGAATAAATCTACTGCAATCGGTTGTCCAGCAGGCAGAGAATTAAGTGCCTCACGGAGATGGTGCACCGCGGGGAGAGGAACCTCATAGATCCACGTCTTGCGGCGTTCTGAATTTGTTGAGTGGAAGACTCAAGGACGTAGCCAATGAATGACTCACCATTGTCGTTAGGAAGTTTCTTATACGCCTCCTGCAAACCTTCGAACAATGCCGTGAGTACAAGGGGGACAGATTCCTTCTTCTCCTCGCCTGTCGTAAGGGCATACCATCCACCTTCCGCCCAACGTCTGAGGTCAATGCCAAAGACGACATCAGACTCGTCATGTACGACGCCCTCATAAACCTGTGGGTCCGGGCGGAACGGTCCTGTACGATACCGCTCAATGAGGGCGGTCAGGTCATTTTCCGGCTGATACGAAGCTACAAGAGTTGCCTGGCGGTCGAGGGATGGTTCAAGGGACTTGGGAAGGTTGGCAAGAGTGCCTTGATATTGCAGGAGGACTGTTCATGACATCAACGTAAATGTCAATCCGATCAATGAAGGGTAGAACGCACCGGTCTTGACCGCACGCAAGCGTTCCGTTTCCCAACGTTGGAGTAATTTAAGCGTCTCCTCGAGTCGTTCCTCGAGGGCGAGTCGGTGACGGTCAAGCTTCCGTACCGCTTTGCGGTAAATATTGTCAGCAATGTCAGCCTCATGTCTGGCTTTCATGTATGCGGGTTCCCCGTCGTTTGCGTTACTCAAGACCTTGTTGACGAGGTTGACAAAGTTCCCCCCAGTCCGCTTAATTACAGCTTCAGCTTGCTTGGCACCGACGCCGAGGGTGCCTCCATCCTGCTCAGAAGCCTGCTTGTTATCCAGATTGAAAGCCTAGAAGGAAGACAATACCGCCAAGACACTAAGTACAAAGTAACATAGAAGATGTTGTCGTACCTTTGGGCGGAACTGATAAAATGCCTCGTCGGAGTGCTCGAACTGATTACCAAACTCTCCAATCCGACGCAACAACCCCTCATGTTCCGTCAGGTCCCGAGCAGCATCCTCTGCGACATCGAGATTTCCACCAAAGCCGGGAACATTTGTGTTGAGCCAGGAAACAAACTCTTCTCCAGTGAAGCAGTCCTGATACTCGCCAAGAAGAGGGAAACGTACAGGCCGCAACGGGAGCTCTCCAGCAGCTCGAGTCAAGAGTTGCGACACGTTGGCCGGAGAAAGTGCAAGTCCTGCTAGGAGGATAGGTGTAGGTGGTAATGAGATCAGCGGGTTCAAAGGTGATATTGGTGGCGGCGAGGCTGTAATCGATGGTGTTTGCGGACGGTCTTGATCAACAGCTTTGCCCTTTCCTTTGTCAACCTTGGAAAGAGGTTGCTCGTCATCATCTGCGAGAGAAGATTGGAGAGCACCGGTACTCTTCTTTTGGATTTGCTTCAATCGTTGGGAGATGCGCTCGGACACACTGGCGGTGCGTGGGGGTGGAGCACGACCATCAGCTGGACGAAGTCGCGGAGAAGATGTATAGTTGTCTGGGATATTTCCACCATTACTGGGAGCTAATTTTGCACTGGAAAAAAGTTGAATTTTCTGTGGGCTTCTTGTGAGTAGTTAGAGAACTCACTCGTCTTCCGCCTCGTCGGCACGTCTCGTTTTCGCAAGATACTGTTGCTTCAGCTTTCCCACTTCTGTATGAGCTTGTTCATAAGACTTTAACCAATTGTCAAGCACTGTGGCCTTATTTGACTTGATACGCTCCTACAAGACGTGGTAAGGTAGAAGAGCGTCACTGGGGAGGACACCTACCGCATAGCCCATAGCCCACTGCTCGAAAGGATCTGCGACCAGTGTATCAAGTTCCTTTGCGATGTTCCTGTGAGCTTGTCCCTGGACAACAGACTCTGCCTGAAGCCCGCGGAAGGCCGTTAAAAGAGATGCACCGTCGTCTGCACCAAAGCCCGTTCCTGATGGCCGTTACACAAATATGCTAGTAAGTTGGGCACATTGCACTTACCAGCAGGCCCAGTTAATGCAGGATTTGTGAGAACGGCAGCAAGATGGCCTTCCGCGACTGCGCGAGCCTGGTGTCGGAACCCTGAATATCGGCGCGTTGACGATTAGTAAAAGACTACACACCCTTATAAATGCGACGATTTCAACATTTTCAGCGACGCCCTACAAGCAGTCGTCAGCCGGAGGCAATATCCTAGGCACAATGGGACATACTTGGTCTAATTTATTAAAGAGGACCTGTAGGCCTCTGCGGTAGTCTTGAGACCAAAATGAATTAGTAAAGTTCAATGGCAGGGACAAGACCGCCATTGTGAAGGGGTGTTGGTGAGGGTACGAGTCAAAGGAGGCTTATGCGTGTTGGTTGTTGCTTTCACGTTAGTACGGTCGAGTCGTGTTTATGCGCACGTGGCGACCTCGGTGGCAACAATTGATCTCACACCGGTAATTCGCTCTTCAAGTTTACATTATATCGGTCTCGGGCATAATGTCGTACATGCACTGTTGGCAACTCGATCTCAACGGAATCATCAGTATAATTTGAGCTCAGCTCATTCCATCTCTACTACGGTTCCGTTGTGAGACTTAAATCGTGACTGGGGCGTGCCGGCTTTGATCGGGCGTGATCAAAATTGAACAGAAATTGTTCAATCACACCCTCGTACTGATGGAGCACACCCAAGGTCTACTTATAATAGTTCTTGGACCTCTGGCCTTTCCTGATGAAGTCTATCAGTGCTCCGACTGCTACGGTTCTTATGTGCCTAGCCCTAAACATGACCTACCAGGTTAATTGCCACCTGGCGAGGCGTCATTCCAGAGGGATTTGCACGCTCAGATATCAAAACAATAGCTGGTACAAACATCGAAGGGAGCTGTAGGGTTACATTATACGTAAAGGACTGGCACGATCACTATAATAGCAAGTTAGGGCACTACTCAAGTACGTCCGATACGAGTTCGGGAAAATGGCAAAAATTCGGGACGGAAGTATGTAGGGTAGACTTGTGATAGAAAAATTTGTTCAGATTACAACTTGACCAAAGCGTACAGTTTAGCAAGATCAACTTCGAACTGGTCAGGATCAGAGCAAGAACATATCAAG